GACTCTAGCCTGCTAAATAGTCGACGGGTCTCTCGCCCAGCCTTCGCCCTCGGGCGTCGGCTTCGGTTCCCCTAAACCCGGCCGTCGCGCGGGCCTCCACCGTCGGTTGGTTAGCGCCGCCGGCGGCGCGCCCCGCGGCGCCGGAAACTGGCGTCCGCTTCGCAGTCTTCTTCTTAGAGGGATAAGCGGCAGCAAAAAATATACTAGCCGCACGAGAGTTTGAGCCATAACAGGTCTGTGATGCCCTTAGATGTTCTGGGCCGCACGCGCGCTACAATGGAGAGTTCAGCGAGCTGTCCCTGCTCCGAGAGGAGCGGGTAACCTCGTGAAAGCTGTCCTTAAAGGGGATTGGGGCTTGCAAATGTTCCCCATGAACGAGGAATTCCCAGTAGGCGCAATTCACCAGATTGCGCCGATTTAGTCCCTGCCCTTTGTACACACCGCCCGTCGCTACTACCGATTGAATGGTCTAGTGAGGGCACCGGACTGGCGCCCTTGGAGCCGCTACCGCCGCCTCGGCGGCGGCCAGCGCCCTCGGGTCGACGGAAAGGTGTCCAAGCTGGGTCATTTAGAGGAAGTAAAAGTCGTAACAAGGTTTCCGTAGGTGAACCTGCGGAAGGATCATTAACGAGTGCTACTACCAGCGAGCGAGCGAGCGAGCGAGCAGCAGCAGCAGCAGCACCAGCAGTAGTAGTAGTGGTGGCGGGCCGCCGGCCCCCCTCCCGCTGCCGCCTGGCGCCGCCTGCCTGCCTGCCTGCCTGCCTGCCTGCCGAAAGAGGCAACTCTCTCTCTTACAACCCGAGCGGCGGGTTGGGCGCGAGCTAAACGGACGGGCGGACGGGCGAGCGAGGCAGCGAGCCAGCGGGCGAAAAAAGGAAGAGGGCGGGATTTGGGGTTGGCATCTGCCCCCCCCCCCCCCCCCCGATCTCCCCGCTGCACCTCCTCCTCTTCGTCCTCGTCCTCCTCATGCTCGTGCCCCCCTCCGCGGGGGGCTCTCGGCACGGCTCCCCGGCCTTTTTCTTTTCCCCGTCCGGAAGGGCGGGGAGGAGGGGAAGGCCGAACCCAGAAGTCTTTGTCAGCCCCGCCTGGGTCACCGGGGCCTACGAGGTCAGCGACGGCGCCGGAAAAAGCGGCACACCCCCTGTGCCGCGGCCCGGCGCCGTGGGCTACGCGTCTTCTCAGAGCGCAGGTTACCCTCCCCTTCGAGGCCCTTTGAGTGGGAGGCCATCGAGTAGTAGTGTGAACTCGAAATGAGATAAACCCAGCAAAGACTCTTAACGGGGGATCACTTGGCTCGTGGGTCGAGGAAGACCGCGGCAAGAAGCGATGTTTTGGTGGCTATCGCAATTCTCCCGTGATTCCATCGACGTGTCGAACGCACATTGCGGCGGCCCTGTGCCTTCTTCGAAGGACGGCTGCCACCTTCCCTCGAGTGTCGTGACGTTGCCTCCCGGGAGACAGTACGGACGGCTGCGGGCTGCTCGCTGCCGCGAGCTCTCCGCCCGTCCTCCGGGAAGGCCGCTACGAGAATCTTTTGAGAGTGAGGCGAAACAGCGCCGTGTAGGTGCCGCTCTCCTCCTCCCCCTCCGCGTGGGGGGGTGGGGGGAGAGCGGTTCCGCAAGAGCACAACGGGGTCCGGGGCCCGTCGACCGGCTTTGCCGGCCGAGGGCTCCGTTCTCGACCGTGCCGGAGGTGCGGGAGCGGCGGCGACCGCGGGCGGGCGGCGCGGGCGGCGGCGCGGCATGTGCCGCCTCGCCTGCCTGCCTGCCTCGCCTGCCTTGCCTGCTGGCTCTCGCGCCGGCGATTCCGCCCTGGGGAGTTCGCCGGACCAGAGAGGGCGCGGGTTCCCTGAGCCTTTGGGCAGGAACTCGCTCCCGCGTCCGGACGTTCCCTCAAGACGTGGAGGGTTCGCTCTCTTCCGTCGCCGTCGGCCCGCAGGGACGGAGGGACGGGCGCCCAGTCGTCCGTGATCCTCCTCCCGACGGCCGGCCTGCCACTGGCCCAAAAGGCGAATAATGTTCCGAAGGAGCCGGAGAGGCGCTCTCCCAAAAGCCGAAATTAAACCAGCCGGCCTGTTGCCCGGTCCCCCTCCCGGGGCCAGGCGATCCGGCCGTGCTGGAGGGGCAAGGGCGCACCCTAGTGACGCGAGATCGCGTAGGTGGGGGCCTCTCCGCGCCACGAAACCTGCTTGCAAACGCCGACTCACTCGCCACCGTCCCCCCCACCAGTTCTTCTTCTTCTTCTTCCGCGAAGGGAAAAAAGGGCCTCGGTGGGCCGTCCCTCCTCCTATTAATCTGTGCCGAAAGGAGGCGAGGGAGAAAGAGAGGGCCTGGGGGGCTCGGGGCAGGAGAGGAAGCGGGCGCAGCATCCTGAGCAACAGCAAACAACAACCACTACGCCAAGCCGAAAGGTAGCGGTAGTTGCACAGAAGGTTTCGCGGCAGAGCAGGGCGGCGCGGAAAAAAAAAAAGCCGGGATTTGAGAGAAAGAAATCCGAAGAGAAGGAAGAGCGAAACGATACCAAGCAAGCAAGCAAGCAAGCAAGCAAGCAAGCATGACGACAGCAGCAGCAGCAGCAAGCAAGCAAGCAAGTGTTGGCCGCTGTATCGTCGACCTCGAGTGGAGGGAGATGACCCGCCTAATTTAAGCATATTAATCAGCGGAGGAAAAGAAACCAACCGGGATTCCCTGAGTAAGTGCGACCGAAACGGGAAGAGCCCAGCGCAAAGCCTCGCGTCCCCTTCGCGGGGGGCACGAGGGGTGCTGCGTTCGGGAGAGGTCCTGCACGCGCTCCCGAGCCGCCTAAGTTGTTCATGAATGACTCTCATACCCAGGGAGGGTGTCAGGCCCGTGTGGCGGAAAGGGACTTCCTCCTCCTCGTTCGCGGGGAGGGGGGTTTCGGGAGTGCGGAACGGGCCTCTCCTTAGAGTCGGGTTGCCTGAAACCGCAACCTAAAGCAGGTGGTAAACTCCATCTAAGGCTAAATATGACCACGAGACCGATAGCGAACAAGTACCGTGAGGGAAAGTTGAAACAGAACCCTGTAGAGAGAGTTCAAGAGAACGTGAAACCGTTAAGAGGCTAAACGGGCGGAGATTCGAAGATCGAACTGGGGGGATTCAGTTCGTCGGCCTGCCGGGAGACGGCAGCGGGCGTGACGACTTCCCGTTCCGGAGGCCTTCTGGGCCGAAGGAGCCAACACGGGGAGCGGCCCCCGCCGCCTGCCCGGCGCCGGCGGGCGATCTTCCCCCCGCAGTAGGTCGCCGCGACGCGTTGGGGAACGGGCGTCTGAGGCCCGGGTCCTGGTAGGAACCGGCGGCGCGTTCGTCCTCCGCTCACTCGTTGGGCGGGGGGCGTTTTCCAGCGCGCCCGTCCGGGGATCCCCCGGTGCCCTCGTCTTGCCCCCCCGACGGTCACTCCTCCGGGGCCGGCCGGGAACGGGGGACTGGTCCGAGGCCGCGGTCGAGCCTAATTCGCTGGCTCCCGCGCTTCCCTGTCCCTCTCCCGCGTGGCCTTCGCGGCGTGCAAAGAGTCGGTACTCCTCCCGACCCGTCTTGAAACACGGACCAAGGAGTCCAACATGTATGCGAGTCAATGGGCGCGCTAAACCCACGGGCGCAATGAAAGTGATCGGGCCGATCCCACGGAGCAGCGGGCGGCCGCGCGCACCCGGACGGAGTGACTGACTTTCCTCCCCGGGACGGCGCGGGTTCCCTCCCGCTCCCGCAGGCCCCGCGCGCCGCCCTTCGCGGGGCGGCGGCGGGGGGGGGCGCAGGTCCGGGACTCGCCATGACGAACGGTCGTCGCCCGTCTCGGCGGGGGGCGGCCGGATGTGTCGGCGGGTACCCAGAGCATAAATGTTGGGACCCGAAAGATAGTGAACTATGCTTGGCCAGGATGAAGCCAGGGGAAACCCTGGTGGAGGTCCGAAGCGTTTCTGACGTGCAAATCGATCGCCAGAGCTGAGTATAGGGGCGAAAGACCAATCGAACTATCTAGTAGCTGGTTCCCTCCGAAGTTTCCCTCAGGATAGCTGGCGCTCGCTTCGAACGAGTTCCATCCGGTAAAGCGAATGACTAGGGGTGTTGGGGACGAAATGTCCTCAGCCCATTCTCAAACTTTAAATGGGTGAGGTGCCGGGCTTGCTTCGCTGAAGCCCCGGACGAGAATCGGAGTGCCTAGTGGGCCAATTTTGGTAAGCAGAACTGGCGCTGTGGGATGAACCAAACGTCGAGTTAAGGGGCCTAAATGGATGCTAATTCCGATCCCATGGAAGGGAGTTGCTTGCTATAGACAGCAGGACGGTGGCCATGGAAGTTGGAATCCGCTAAGGAGTGTGTAACAACTCACCTGCCGAAGCAAGTAACCCCGAAAATGGCATGGCGCTCAAGCATCCTCCCGATACTCGACCGCCGGGCGCACTATAGGCTGCGTCGAGGAGGTCTCGAGGCCCCGGCGAGTAGGAGGGCGCGGTGGTGAGCGTAGAAGGATACGGCGCGAGCCGGTCTGGAGCCGCCACTGGTGCGGATCTTGGTGGTAGTAGCAAATGCTCGAGCAAGCCGAACCCTCGTTGACCGAAGCGGAGGAGGGTTCCCCGCCAACATCGCTTGGTCGTGGATAAGTCGGCCCTTAGCCCGAGGATAGCTTCCCTCCGATCCCCTGGAAAACGCCACAAAACAGTCGAGCTCTTGTTTTTGACTCCCTGTTTTGGAAAGGGGAAGAAGGCGGCACGAGCCGAGCAGCAGCCGGCGGCGAAGGCGAAGGCGAAGGCGGCGGCGGCGGCGGGGGGTTCCCTCCCTCCTCCCTCCCGCCCTCCCTCCCTCTCGCTGCTGGCTCAAGCGCTTGTCGGCGCCGGCTGTGCTTAATCGTCATCATCATCATGATGGTGATGATGATAGAGCGGCCGGCGTCTTGGCCCCCGGCCACGCCAATCCCCCGCCTCAGCAATTTGTCTGGATCCAAAACGACGAGAAAAAAGAACTTCATGCAAAGAAAAACGGTCCAGTCAGATTTCGGGCTAAAGGGAATACGGTTAAAATCCCGTGACCTGCCCCGTGGGAAGACAGACCCGTGCGTGGGAAACTATGGTTTTAGTGCGGGTGGCCGTGTAACGAGAGCGGCGGCGCGCGGCCTCGCGGCGTGGGCGCATTCGTCGTCGTCGACGGCGGTGTGCCTCTCGTCCGCCGGCGGCGCCGCCGCGGTTACGACGATCCTCCTCCCGCCCCCCCTTCTGTGAGAGGGCTTTCTCTGGACCAGCGCCGGTCTCGCCTCCGTCACCCTCCCCTCAGGGGGAGGGCAGGAGGCTCGAGACCCCCATATAATAAGGCTTGTCTTGTGGGTAGTAGTGTAGACCTCCCCTTCGCTCTCGGAGTAAGCGCCTCTTTTATGTGTTGCCGGAGAGGAGAATCCGCCCCCCCGCGGGTTCGGCCTCTCCGCGCGCAGAGCGACCGCTCGCGCCCCCCCCCATATCTCTACCAAGGTTGCATTCATTGCCGGTGGTCCGGAGGCCAGTGCGTGTGCTTGGCAACAGGCGTACTCGTTCGCCGACGCCGGCGGTAGCCCGGGGAAGAGCTTTCTTCTCTTTTTTAGGCTGCTGGAGGCCCCCAAGTTCGTTCACTTTGAGTGGGGGTCGTTGGCCGTAACAGCCATACGTGAGATTGTGATCGGTTGGGAGCAATCCTCGCTGTTGCGATCGCCACCGGTTCGCCGTAGAGCACCGCGCAAATAAGCGCTTGGTGTCCCGTGCGCTACCGCCGGCCCTTGAAAAGGTGGATAGGGTAAACCCCCTCCGGTACCAACCAACCAGACCAACCAGGCCACAAAAGAGAGAAAAATAATAAAGAAAGGAAATCGGTAGATGATGATGATGATGGACGGGGGGGATGCGACTCGCTCGTCGAACGCCGACCAAAAGTCCGAAACGAGAGCGATCTCTGCGGGGCGGAGGACTACCGCAGCGTACTGCCAACAAGTGCCGAAAAGAAGAGAAAAGAAAAGAAAAAAAAAAAAAAAAAAATGGGGCTTTTTATTCAGAGGCGGCCCGGTCGAGGAGAGATCTTCGAGAGAGAGATCTTCGAGATCGAGAGAAGCCCTCGGGAGTCGAGATGCCTACCCAGCGCGCCCGCGTTGCGGGGGGGCAGTCCGTACCTTACTCCGCAGCAGGTCTCCAAGGTGTTCAGCCTCTGGTCGATAGATCAATGTAGGTAAGGGAAGTCGGCAAGTTAGATCCGTAACTTCGGGACAAGGATTGGCTCTGAGGGTCGAGCCATGCCGGGCCCACAGCCGGAAGCGGTCCCTCGTTCCCCTGGCGGGTAGGCCGCCGGCGGTGCGCGGAGGCGGCGGCGAGGAGGGGGCCCAAGGGTGCCCTTGGCGGTCGGCGCCGCGGCGTTTCTGTCCGCTCCGAGGGAGAAGGACTGGGCGAGGGGCGGCCTCTCACGAGGTCGCTCCGAGCTCGGACCCGACCCCGCAGGGGCGGCTGCCGTGCCTGCGGCTGCTCCTCTGCCTCTGGTGCCCTCCCCTCCGCTCGAGCCGCGCAGCCCGAGCGCCCGCCGGCATCACGCGCCCCCGCCGTCGCGGGTCGGGACCAACGCGGAAGGCGCCTCTCGGGCAAAGGCCGGGGTTTCCCTCCCGTTTCCCCGGCCGCGGCTGGCAACAGACGGCCGTCTCAGAACTGGCACGGACCAGGGGAATCCGACTGTTTAATTAAAACAAAGCAATGCGATGGTCGGTGATCGATGCTGACGCATTGTGATTTCT